ATTCACATTATAAAGATACCAGCATTCTATATCGCGCATTGGTTCCAAACGCTTAAGGCGTGTAATGATCGCCGCATTGACAGAACCTCACACAATGATGACGTAAGTCAGCAGCCGGCATGCCCACCATATTTCGTAAGTACACGGATTAGGGGAGCAAAAGGAAGGAACCCAGATGTACTTTCCAAACGTTAATTTTGTACTTTAGAGTGCTGAAACCCATACTCCGTTTCTGGTCTTATTTCGTTCAGCATGATTTACTGTGAATGATGTCATACTTTTTGAATCAAACATAGTTTATCATTTTGCGGTACTCTAATAAATGAAGGCCATTGATATCACGGGACAAAATCGAGCAAATCTGTGTGACATGCGAAAAAGGTGTGAAAATTTATGTTGTATGTTTTCTTGACCAAACAAATTGAAATAGGATAGAGGGAACGCAGGATTGGATTACTCCATCGAAGTTATTAGCTAAAATGAGAAAGGGTAGTTCGAAAACAGAATTTGCTACTAACAGAACCTGGATTGCAGTGAATCAGTCATTCCAAGTATTTTGAGCATATCGGAAAAATCCTGGACGAAGCCCCAAAAATGATATTTCGAAAAAGCTAATCGCATTAGGGCAATTTGATGTGAAAGTGACCAACTTGAAGAACGAGATCTCAGTGAACCAAGAAACGTCACGGGAGCGATACATATTAGAAGAAAAGCAATCTCATTAGAAACCGTCGGTTAAACAAACAGGCGTTAGCGACCGCGGTGGTCGAGAACGGCTTGAGAGTCTGGTACACAGCACCGGCAATGTTTTTGCCGCGGTACGAAACTCCGGGCATTCCAGAAAACGGAACAGCTTAACGACCACCACCACCATGAAGACTAACTGTCCGTCATGGACAAAATCCGTGAAAGCCAAACAATTTGATCGATGAGGGAATGCGATGATTGACGACAAGTTAGATTTGGATTGTTACTAGTGAAGCATAAACCGTATCTTAGTGACGCGGCCGACTGAGGTGAACAGTTATGCATCCGAACCCATTCACTGATTTCAATTTGTTTCCCACGAATCTTTCGTAATATACCCATTAGTTTGAAAGTTAACAGTACAAAAATGCAAATTTTAAACAAACAGTTAACTAAGGTGGAATAAGGCACAGTGGTCGAAAGTACGATATCCGTGAACACAACGTAATGAACGAAGTGCTGCCAAATCGATTACAGTGGCTTGTCAAACGAATGACTATATCGAAATAACTCAACCGAGAACACTTACTTCCGGTTGGCTAACTGACTTAGGCACACACGGACACACTCCGGCCTAAAGTTACTCGGCAAAGTATGATCGGGTGAAATGACAAATGCACTAGTTGCGATTCAATTTCACCAATGCAACCAAATTAATAACAGACTGTGTGAGCGAGAAGGGCAGTAATCGAGATTAAGAACAAAGCTGATTCTATCAAGGTTATGCCAAAATATAAAATGATGGAGATTACATTGTCATGTACCCTGTGCTATGATAAGTCTGTTTTATCTCCAGTTAACAAGTGGGTGAGCAGTTTTCTGTACGATCAGCCACGGTCCAGGTGTATTGTATTCATTTGCAACGATAAAATGCATGATGGGGTGCGTGTGGCAAGGGGAAGCAACTAAGAGACGGTAAACTGATGTAGCAGGTGGTAGTCAATTAACTTTCAAGATGAGATCAGATATCGAGACTGAACGAGGATAAGGATCAAACTTAAGGCTGTGATCACTTTGATGATGATGCATTAATCAGTCACACGCATGAATACGTCAGCTAGCGAAAGAAAAGTAGATGCTATTGATTATTGTCAGCCGGGCTAGCGTAGTCACAAATGAAAGTGGAAGAGATGAACTGGCCAACTATTAGCTTAAATTAAATATGACCTAATTCCTAAGTTGTCCTAGGTCCATACAGCTGAAGGACTACGCAAATCCGTAATCGGAACCATCACAGATCGGAATACAAGAATGTTTCGATGCAAGTGATTCGACCAGATTAAAGATAGGATCGATAACAGGGCATCAGTTTTATGAGAGGTACACGTTTCTATTCAACTTTGATCCGGGAGATTTGAACACTATTTTGAAACCATTTTATGAGGAAATGACTCAGTGGCAGTTTAAATTAATTTAATGCGATGCACCTACATTGGAATTTTAGTTGATCAGCGAATCCAAATTTGAAACTGCTTAACCGAAATTTCTGGTATGGTTCAGGATAGCAGGTGTCACACGTAATCTGTGGATCTAGCACAGTTGTTGATGTCGAGCGTAAATAACGTAGCGAAAGGATGACAATATTAGTTTGACGATTTCCGTCAAAAGGAAGGAACGTGAGCTGAACAAATCAGCCAATCAGGAGGAGACATCCGTCGCTGGAGCTGCGTTAAGTTAGGTGCGACATCGGAGTCAAAAAATAAGGTTAAACAAAAAAAATTAAATTCACTTGATTCGATTAACCCGAGACAAAAAGAGAGTGGTGTGTTAGTTGAAGGGGGGTGGATAGTGTTGAGTCAACGCAGTAAAAAGTGAGAATACATATTCCTTAGGCGCCTCCGAAAGCCTCAGTATGGTCGGGGTGGGTGCCTCGGGTTACGGCTGGTCATCCCCCCACCCTAGCGACTCGTGAAATGTACCCATCCGATCAAGCCTATCAAATAGCTTCTGCTCAGGAAGGCCTAATCACTACCTTCTCGTGGCAGTATTTTCCCACCAAAGTAAGAAGACGAAAAGCGGGACTAAAACCGGGTTGGCGAATCATTGGTAGTTCACCTAACAGAGTTGGCCAAAAACGCTGATGCCAAAACAACCAAGAGGCGTACGAACCGCAATCACGCGTATTTTCCTATTCGTAGTAAAGGTCACCGGTAAAAACGCAATCAGATACTTTGAAAGTTAGTATCATAAAATTTCACATCCGTGGTCAAAATTACAGATTAGTACCGCCAAATTTATGGGTAAGGAGCACAACGTTCAGTACCACTGAGTAGACGGAAGATCAGATGTGAGTGTTAATGTTAATTTACCAGGTATATTTATTATGGCATACACCAATTCAAAACACTCTACGCCTGTTTCATACAGCTTGATTTAGGTTATCCGCACAGTAAACCAGACAATTCCACTGAAATTCGAACCTGGGCGCGAGGGGCTGTTAATTCAAAGGGGTAAGCACGTGAGGTATTGCGGGTAGATCTGAGCAACTTGACATACGTCAACCCTTTATGATAACGCGCTTATCCGCCAATGTGCTCTGATAACCTGGATCTAATCAGACAGTGAAATTGAAAAAGAGTAAAGGCTTCAAGGATGAGAAGGTACTATTGATGGGGTCCTGATATTCAGCGATATTCAATGGAAGTCAGTTAAGTAGTTCATCTCATACTGTCTGGACAATTTTGTACCTCAAAACTAAACCTAAGTTTGGTAAAATTACTTGACAATGATTCCATGATGTACACATGCCATGCATGTGGAAGGGATCATGAATTATCAAGAGTAGCGTCGAAACACAAAAGAAACAATTAACTAAAACAAAGAATACGATAAGTTAATGGGAAAGGATGGAAGACCAGGGATGAATGGGGGCAGCGCGGGATAATTGGTTTTCGGACCTCACATACACAACTTTTGAACTGTTTCTGGTCTGATGGGCCATCAAGAAATTATAAAAACAGACCGGGGGCAGGTGACGGTTCTGAAAGTCAAAATTTCACTCTCAAATCCCACTTTCTTGGGGGGGGGGGGGGGGGGGGGGGG